GTCAGATATACGACAAGTAGCGGTAGTATATATATATATATATATATATAGGCATATTCGTTTCGGGTTAACTGCCTAATCGGAATTCTTGTTGTATGCGGTTGTTAGGTAGGTGGGCTCTAGGTAGGTGGGCTCTAGGTAGGCGGGCTCTAACGTGCGTCTTTGAAGAATCTACTTTGTGGGAACAGGTATGTCCAGTCAGCTGTGCATACAAATGTCCTTTGACTAAGACATTACGCGATATCAGTCCGACACACCTGTCCCGAACTCAACTGGGCAAGAGTACGGTACACGCGTTGTTCTATTTGCTCATTTTTCGACGGCATCAGCTCACCACAGAGGCCAGACTAATTGTCTCACAATGGGACACTTGTCTGACTAATTCGCTTACCTATTAAGCACAATGGGACACTTGTCTGACTAATTCACTTAGCACAATGGGACACTTGTCTGACTAATTCGCTTACCTATTTAGCACAATGGGACACTTGTCTAACTAATTCACTTACCTATTTAGCTCATTGGGACAATTGTCTGACTAATTTGCTTACATATTCAGCACAATGGGACACTTGTCTAATTATTCGTTTCCCTATTCAGCACAATGGGACACTTGTCCGACTAATTCGCTTACCTATTTAGCACAATGGGACTGTCTAACTAATTCGCTTACCTATTTAGCACAATGGGACACTTGTCTAACTAATTCACTTACCTATTTAGCTCATTGGGACAATTGTCTGACTAATTTGCTTACATATTCAGCACAATGGGACACTTGTCTAACTATTCGCTTCCCTATTCAGCACAATGGGACACTTGTCTAACTAATTCGCTTACCTATTTGACACAATGGGGCACTTGTCTACTATTTCCCTTACCTATTTAGCACAATGGAACATTTGTCTAACTAATTCGCTTACCTATTCAGCGCAATGGGACACTTTTCTATCTAATTCGCTTACCTATCTACATCGTGTTCAACAGTGCTGTATCATCGTACTGTGTGACTTCTATGCACCCCCCCCCCTTTCCCTGCTGGCGCACTCGCTGGAATAGGGGCATGTGTTCATTCTCGTGCTTCTCCCGTTCTATCGTACTACAAACAGTCACCGGGATAAGCTAGCCCTGGGCTTCTCCACGCTCTCACGTGGTGACCACGTGCTGCCCCAACTCTGCACTAACCTCCCCGTTGAACTGGTTGCTGCTGTCGGGTATCGCGCGGACTGGGAGGTGGCGATGGCCATAGCATGGCTAAAACCTAGTTTACACTATCTGCAGTTTGAGGCAGGCTATGTCATGCACGTGCTGCATGGGTTTGTGACTAACCCGACGATAAAAAAGCATGGCCAACATGTGTATGTGCCATCGAAGAATTTTCTGAAGGAGTTTGTAGAAACTGCCACCCAAGTGAGTATGCTTTACGTATATGTGTATAGCGAACGTATGTAGATGAGTATACTTTACGTATCAGGTGAGTATCCTTAACGTATCAGGTGAGTATGCTTTACGTGTCAGGTGAGTATGCTTTTATACGTATCAGCTGAGTATACTTTACGTATCAGTTGAGTATACTTTACGTATCAGGTGAGTATACTTTACGTATCAGGCGAGTATACTTTACGTATCAGTTGAGTATACTTTACGTATCAGGTGAGTATACTTTACGTATCAGGCGAGTATACTTTACGTATCAGGTGAGTATACTTTACGTATCAGGTGAGTATACTTTACGTATCAAGCGAGTATACTTTACGTATCAGGTGAGTATATTTTACGCATCAGGCGAGTATACTTTACGTATCAGGTGAGTATACTTTACGTGTCAGGTGAGTATGCTTTTATACGTATCAGCTGAGTATACTTTACGTATCAGGTGAGTATACTTTACGTATTTTAGAATAAACGACTGTGAGTCTAAGTGACTGTGTCTTTGCACTGGGGTTGTCGCAGCCTTCGAGCACGTGTCCGTAAAGGCAGCTCCTGCGATGTCTACTCGTCGCCAGCACACGCTGATAATAGACACGATCTGATTGGTCTGTACCTATTGTCGTGGTACGGTGATCGCTTTGGTGCCGGCAACCCGTACGACGTACCATATGATATGCACGAATTCCTATTGGTTGATATAAATAAGCGCACTATGCCATTCGTTGGCGGTACCGCGGGACACCAACGCCACTGTTGGCATGCACTTCAGTTGCGGTGTGTGTTGCCTAATAACTGAACGGAGTGCCGCCGTTTCAATGGATGGATTGCATCAACAGCACTCTCCTATGGCCTACTGAGAGGCGTGCTCCCTGCTAGTTCTCTCGCGCTTACTCGCTGATTCACCCCCCCCCCCCCACAGTCCGGGTTGAAAAATAAAATGACGCAGCCGTTGCCCATGGCCACTCTCGACTTTGCGTGCAAGGTGTCTGGCAACAATATGTGGGTGCTGGAAGCAGGTGTGTGTGGGCCTGGGAGAGTTCCGGATGCTCAATGCTCAACCTGTGTTTATTGGTTACACGGGCCGTTGGTTATTGCTTATACTAGATCCTCTGGCGTGCCGTGGTGGTGTCACGTATCCGACTGAATTTTTTTATACGAGTGGAACGTTTAGACGAGCTCCTGGGTCTCGCGCTTGGGGTTTAGAATCAGGTACACTTCTGTTTGTGGTTGGAATGTATCAGTTGATACCAACGCGAATCCCAGCGTCTTTCTAACCTTCGTCGTATACTCTCGCATCGTACAGTCTCTGTTGTTACACACATACACTGTGTATGTAAGTGTGTGTCGCATGTTATCGATCATTTACCAACATAGAAGTGTGTGATCTATAAGCTTTCATACACACTGAGCCGTGTGCGATTGCATCTCAACCACCTGTTCGTCTTCCACGCTCAGTTGTGTCTGCGTGTATACAGTCCGATATCGATAAGGCGCTCTCATTGGCTGTACGAGCTAAGAAGGAGCAGGTAGTACTGGCACTGGTGAAAAGCCATCGCGTGTCGGCATTCGAAAACGAATTGGAGGTGAGTTCAATGAGGGGTGGGAAGCTCACGGTATAGTCTTGGTGTGGAATTGGTTGTGTGTGTAAATTAGTAGGGTAGCATGGGAATGAAGAGGAAGTGATGCGTCGTAGATGTGAAGCATATAGGTAGGCACACAGGTGAATGCGACCATGTAGTTGTGTTTGTATATAGTTCTCAATCCATTCATTCGTGTACGGGCGTGTATATCATTACAACACACTAACAAGTCGATTGGTTTCTCACCCACGACTGGGCTGCTTGTTCTGTTATACAACGTCTTGCTACGTGTGGCTGTGTATAGATCTCGCTTCTGCAGATGTGCCACAGTTCTCTCCTCCTTCAGCTACTGCCCACTGATCCTTGCTCGCGTTTCCTTGTGTACAAGCCCCATCTCGTCATCTGCTGCCCTATGTTTCTGTAGCAAGTATGTTACCACGTGCTAACATGTGTGATAGGATCGTGCCTGTATACTTAACCTATCACAAGGGCTCAGAGTCACTGCATCTATTGCCCCATGTTTCTGTAGCAAGTATGTTATCACTTGCTAGCATGTGTGATAGGATCGTGCCTATATACTTAACCTATCGCAAGAGCTCAGAGTCACTGTATCTGTTGCCCCATGCTAGCATGTATGTTGTCCTGTTGTTCTCCTTCTGTTCCAGTCACCCGTTCATTCGTTTCCGGTTACAATTCGCCATAGTCTCACCCCTGCACCCGTCCCTCACCCATGCTTCGTTCGCCTTAAAACCCTAAAACCCTAAAACCCTACTTTGTGTGTGCTGTATCGCAGCTCGTGCGTACAACCGAAGTGCTGCACTGGGCAGGTGTCCTGGATGAGTTAGAGTGGTACCTTGCACCCCTCCCCCAGGAGCGCGTACAACACTTACTCGTTGTCGCGTACACGAACATGTGGGTGCAGTTCACTGACCTGTGCCTGAGGAGCGGGGTGGGGCCGTTGTCTGCGATTGAGATCAGGGCTAAGAATGAACACGACATGAGATTCATCGCTGTGGCGGCGCAGCAAGGTGTGCCTGCTATCGCGTGATGTGCATGTGTGCGTTTGTAGTCGTGAAAGGGTGCGTTTTTAATCGTGAATGGGTGCGGTTGTAATCGTGAATGTGTGCGTTTGTAAATGTTGTGGTCGTGAATGTGAGCGAGAGTGCAGAAGCATCTCCGTAAAGCGTACATAAATTGCGTTGTGTCGGAAGTTCTTGCTTCGGGTGGCTGTGCGTGCTGAGCCTGGGCGACGTCTTTTGACTGCGTGTGCCACTCACTACCAACACCTGACCGTGAGTCAGTGCATCCGCCACTTACTACCAACTCCTGACCTTGAGTCAGTGTATCCGGAAGTATTTGAACCACTTCACTTCTCGATGCAACAACGCGCGCGGCAGATTCGGGTTTCTCACCGCATACGACGGATATGGTACTCTTTGTTGTGCATATGTCAGCTGTAGATGGCAGGCCTGTCTGTCTGTCTGTCTGTCGGTCGGTCGGTCACTACATCCGCATCTCTGTACGTCAACCGCTGATTGCATAACAGTGTTGTCTCACCTATGCTTCATTACTACAAGTCGTAGCTGTTGTCTATTGAGTCGGTGTGTATTAGTCGTAGCTGTTGTCTATTGAGTCAGTGTGTAATGGTCGTAGCTGTTGTCTATTGAGTCAGTGTGTACTAGTCGTAGCTGTTGTCTATTGAGTCAGTGTGTATTAGTCGTAGCTGTTGTCTATTGAGTCAGTGTGTAGTGGTCGTAGCTGTTGTCTATTGAGTCAGTGTGTATTAG